ATAGCTGGCTAGGGGATAGATTAGATACGGGGGTGGAGGAGATAGCTGGTTAGATGGACAGATAGACAGAATGTTTGTACCGTGCTTTGAGCCCCGCCAGAGACGGGCAAACGGAGACCTGCGTGAGTGAAAGCGCTGCTTTATGAGTAGTGTGAGCAGACGCAGGAGCTAATTAACCATCAATACTAGCTGCCTTCACCGCAGTCTAAAGCCCCCGCACTTGGGGCCCCAGCTCCCACTGATTTGTACATGTTCCTCGCTAGGGCCCTGCTCTTGCTGTGGGGAACAGATGGGGGGACCCAGGATTTCCTGCAGGGCCTGTGCTGGAGAAAGCCACTGCAGTCCTGTACCCGCCCCTGGGACGCACAGCCCTGGCAGTGGCATGGCGTGCTCGCCTCCCCGTGGAAAGGCAGAAGATTGGAGGGTTTAGACATTGTATGTCAGCGAGGCCTGTTACCGCTCAGTGCCTCAGGTGCGATCGCACACACAACACCCTGGATGCCGCTGCTGCTTGTGGTTTCATGACGCTCTAGCCGGTTGGCTAAAGCGCTTGAGACAAGTTTCTCTCACGGGCGTGGTTTCCATTTCTGGCTTTGAGCTGCAAGAGGACTCTCCTGGGTGGTTTTGGGGGACTGGAGGGAAGTAGGGGGCCCAGGGGGCAGAGGCTACTCATCTCAGTATCGGAGTCCCTCGTGAGACCAAGGCGGCAGGACCCTTCCTTTCTGTGCAGCTGGTTTCACAGTGGCGGGGCCGGGTGCCTGTGTCTGTGTCGGGCACCTCACACAACACTTGTCTGAACCACCGAGTGCTGCTGTGCCCTGGGTCAGGCTCCACTGCAGCAATATTAGGCCCTTCCCCCACAACGCCCCCTCCCCAGAGCTGGGCTCCGGCTGGAAGGACAAGCGTGCTGGGGAATGGACGGGCCGGGAGTGACCAGACTCTAGCCCCATTAGGGCTTCCAAGACATGAAACGAACCTGTGATCCGAGGGGCAGGCAGTGCAGGGAGGTGCAGCGTGGCCCCCCTCCACTGCCGCCGCCAGAGCCATTGGGATTCGGGGGGTTATGTCCAGATACGAGGTGCTCCTGGAGCCCCCATCTCCCAGCGCACAGTGATGGAGGCTAGGAAGTCTCTCTGCCCTGGCCATATGGTGCCTCCTGTACCCCCGTTAGCTCTGACCTCCCCCACTCCCTCTCTTCTCTGAATGTCTTTTCTCTGGGAAGGCCAGGCTGACTTCACCAGGGAGCCCTGCATGACCAACATCGTGCCCTGAATCCCTGCCCACCCTAACATGCAAAAATAGCAGCCAACTGCCCCCAGGATCTCTCTGCGGGCTACATCAGTGCACTGGGAGTCAGGACGCCTGGGTTCTGGTCTGCTCTCAGCTGGCTGGCTAAGTCTCCCCCTCTGAGCCTCAGTGCAAGCATAATGATTCTGACTTGCCTAGTGGGTACCGGGAGGTTTCGCTGATATGTTTGCTAGGCACATGCAAAGGGCTGATAGTGCATTCAGCTCTTAGATCTCTGAGCAACTGCTATAGGTGGGGGATTCAATTTCCTGATGCCCATTCACACTCTAACCACTAGGCCATGCTGCATCCTGTAGTGCATGAAGTAGTGCTCTGAAGTGCATGCGCATCTCAATGTACTGATGAATCTCACGCCCACCATGGACACATTTCAAGCTGATAGCATTGTGTTTTGAATTCTATTTTAGTTCTGCAGCAAACCACACTGAATTCCATTAATCAAAGTGTCAATCTACAGAGTGCTTTTCCCCTGCCCTTCCATCCACCATAAGAAACCCCGATATTTACCCAGAAATATTATTAATATTTTTTGCACCGATTTTCAGCTGTTTTTGTTGTTGTAGTAATAAACACTGATCAATTCCTGGGAAAAATTAAATAAAATATAAACCGAAAACGAAGGGCCCTAACTAGGTCTCATGGGCCCTTCCTCTGTGGTTTATTTGTAGAGTATCGTCTCTGAAGGCTCCCAGAGGCCTTAAGGCCTGAGGGGCTAATGCATTCAAATTGATTGTTATTGCCCTGAGCTCGGCCAGCTTCCAGCATGCTGCATTCCCCACTGTGCCCTGGACTCATGTCCCTTCTATGAAAGGAAACAGGACAAAATCTCAAGCTCCTTGTGTCGTTAATGGGAAGGTCTGAGGTTCCCACACCTCCCAGCTCCTTGTGTTAGGTGCAAATCACATCCAGAACACAGGAGATCCAGCGTCCTGGGCAGAAGGTGAGACAACTGGAGATCTCACAGCACTAGAGGGTTTGTCGCTAGGCGGGCAGAGGCTAATAATATCATTGCTGTTAGGAACAGAGGGCTGGAAACAGTGCATCAAAGCACCTGTCCATCCAACCCATGATTCTGCCTCCAGCAGAGGACAGAACCTGAGCTTTCTGAGGAAAGAGAAAGCCCACTTCCTTCCTGACCAGTGAGGCACAATGCCCTGAAGCATGAGATCTGATTGTCCTTATTTTAGCTGGTATAACAAGAATGTCCCTGCTGGCTAAAACGTCATCCCATCTCTATTCAAACCCAGTGATACTCTTTGACTCTGCTAGGAGGATATTGTGCAAGTAAACATCTATTTTTAGAGGATGTGGAGGGCCAGATTTGGAGACTGTTGCCCTTCACAGGGTCACTTTAAAATAACTCCAAACTTGTTAGTCTGGTGTCAAGCTCTTTAGCCATTTCTAGCAACAAAGCCAGAGCCGCCAGGTTCCTCCCAGCAACATGATAGACCCACAAAGAGCTTTGAGTCACTCTCTGGTCAGTTGAGCCATGAGCATCTGAGGTGCAATCCTGGCTCCATTGAAGTTAATGGCCAAACTCTCACTGACTTCGATGGGGCCAGGACGTCAGCCCTGGTATTGGTAGGGCCTAACGTGGTCCGGAAGGGGTGCCAGGTCTGTCACTGGCCAATGGGGAATTTCATTAGTTAGCAACAAACTTGAGCCTCTCCTTTGGCCGCAGGGATGTGATTTAGTCTGCGTCAGCTGTTTGGTCTAATGGGTGTGAATCCACAGAGGCCCATTAGATCGTCCAGTCCTTCCCCAAGGGGCCAGCGTGGGATGGTTCCCCATGGGCCACGTTGTCCAGCCTGGTTTAAGTGCGGGGCTCAGGGCAACCTGGTAACGAGAACCAGGAGTGACAGGTGTGGGGTTGCAAAGATGTGCACAAGGGCTGCATCAGCAAAGGCACTGCATCACAAACAGGGTTATCTGTCTGTCTGTCGATCTATCCCCATCCACCCCCATCTATCTATCTATCTATCTATCTATCTATCTATCTATCTATCTATCTATCTATCTATCTATCTATCTATCTATCTATCCCACTACACCCCTCTATCTATCTATCTATCTATCTATCTATC